ACAGGCACAAACTTCTGGGAAATTTAATAATTTAATGTACAGGGAAATGTAAACAGGCCAGGGATGAAAGCTTAGCAGACAGCATTTTGACAATTGAAGTGCGGTAGGTAGCTATAGATGAGGCGTTGTTACAGTTGCTATTTTGTGCCAAGGACAACTTTCAGACCCACTTATGATTTGTGATAAGATGGAAAGGTAGTTCAAAATGTTATCTTTTCAATAAAATGATAATAGAAATAACATCTAATCAGCATTAATTTAAATTCAGCAGCTGAAAGATTTCTTTTTAAAAATCTTTTATTTATTTGTTACAGGCTCTTGGCTATGCGACTCTGGCCACATGTGTGATCCTCCTGTCTTATGCTCCCCAGCTATCCAGCATTGGGATTACAGGTGTGCACCCCCATGCCCTATTTCAGTGGCTGGCAAAGCACGTGGGCCTGGCACAGCATGTGGTACTGGGGATGGAACCTGGGTCCTTGAGCTTGTCAGGCAGGTTCTTAGACTGCTGAGCTATCTCCCCAGCCCTACATCTGAAAGATTTCTAAGGAAAGCTAGTTGCTAGTTTTGCTAAGACAAGTGAAGAAGTAAAATACTATTTATAATAACAGATTGATTTCAAATAAAATGGGACTGATAGGGCAAAACAGGTTAAGAATAGATCTTTGTAAAAGATAATCAGAATGGAATAAAGATCTTCTGTGGGAGGCCTAGAGACAGACCTCTTAACTCTTGCTTCTCCTGCCCAAATTTGAGACATCTGATGTCATGCACCATTCCTAGGTGAGAGTGACACACAGGTGGGCTTGGTTGTGCCTAAGCCTGGCTGGCTCATTTTGGTCCCTTCTCCTCACATACCTCACCTCACATCCAGTGTCATCAGCAAACCAGTGTCACCTGCAGCAAGGAGCAGAAGCTGCACATTGGCAGGTTCAAGATGCCAGAATGGCTGATACACCCAAGCAAAAAGAAACCTCTGGGAATACAATTTTTTTTTTCAGGCCACAGAACAAAGCCTGGAAACTGTTCAGACCGTCAAGCTTCCTCAAGGACCTAAGAGATACTTATTTGATATTTGAAAAAGAATGACAATCTTTTCTCCTTCCCACTGTGCGCTGTCTATTCAGAAGTGCAAGTTCTATTTATTTGTATTTTCCTAGTGACCTGGGTGGAAAAGTAAGATAAGTCTCACTTTCTAGAAACCTTGCTTCTACAAGTGCCGACTTGAGGGGCCTCTTTTCTTTAGTGGATGCAACACTGAATTGCAGGCAAAGCCCTTCTTTAGTGCTGAGTTGATACACTGGTATTTCTTCTTTTTGTTTTTTTTTGGCTGAATTGGAGGTTGAATTCAGGCCCTCGCACTTGCCGGGCAAGCGCTTATTCTACTGAGCTATCTCCCCGGCCTGGTGTTTCATCTTGCTCAGCAAAGAATGTCAGAACTGCATGTCCAGGGTTAAAAATGAGGGTCACACATTTGTATTTTAAAATGCTTGATTTCTCCAATGTTTGTACATGAAAAAATATCAAGGAAAACAGAAAGGGATAATTGTTGGCCCCCTCGTGTTTCATTTTTTTACTAGCATGACAAAAAGTACTATTGATATGTTTCTAAGTGTGAAAACTACCAAAATATTAAATGAAAATAACTAAGAAATTTAAATCTTTATTACCTGAAAAATTCTGCACTTTATGTGCGAGTATAAAATATATGTCATATGTTTTAATTACATATAGATGTTTTAGTGAAAACTGCCTATTCAGTGAAGACTGGTAAGTAAAATTTATTTTCAGGATTATCATGAAAAAATTAATTTGCATTTTGTTTTGTAGAAGGAGGTTTTTTTTTTTTTTTAAATGTATTTAGCACAGGACTTACAGGGTCTCATTACATAGACATGACTTGTAGTGATCCTCCTGTTTTCAGCCTCCCAAGCACTGGGGTTACAGGCGTGCGCCACCATGCATAGTCCCTGTAGGAGGAGTTTTATTTTTCACATCCCATGAAATAATGCACTCAAAATGAATGAAAAATTATATTATTTTGAAATATTTGTGCATTCAGAAGGTATTTGTTTAGGGCTGAAGAATTAGTATATTATATATATATATTGATTGAAACAGCCTCAATTTATAAGTGGACAAAGATGCATAATCATGTTGGTTTACTTTATGACTTAAATATTATGATTTAAATAGAATATTTAAGAGCATATGTGTGATTTTCTGTATGCTTTGAAAAAATGTAAATAATTAATTAGATAATTCTTCACCTGAGATGTCTCTTTATAAAGCTAGAGTCATGGAGGTAAATTTATAAGGTTAAGAAAATTCAGCGAAGACAGAAAAAAAGAACAAAAGCTCAAAATTTAACTGAGTCAGATCCTTCCTTATAACTAATTATGTTTTTCAGTTCTTTGGGAAGTTTAGGAAAATGTGGATGTACATGCTTCACAATTTATGAATAAGCCACTCTACATTTCTGCTTCATTTTATAGGAACATTAAAGGGCGTGTTGAGGAAAGTGCACACATTCAACAGCAGGAGGCTATTTTGGGGCGGTTTCATGACATGTCTTTAATTTTGTTCTGAAAAGAACTAAAGAAATGTTTACACCAAATATTCCTTTGGAAACACGAATACAATTACCATGTCAAGGGGCATGTATGAAAACACGTGCATTCCATTTACTGTTATTTCTGCTTCTAAATTAAACTGATTTGAAAAGAGTTTGAGAAAAAAATTAAGAATTGTGGCACTGGATTGAAAACGCATGTTTCAACCCAAGTGCTCATATCTGCTCATTTTTATTTCCATTAGTCACCTCTTTTTTTTTTTTTTTATAGCAAAGATCCCTAGCTGGTTATGGCCCATTCAACCTCCCAGTGGTCAGCTTCCCCATTGCGTCCCTTTCCCTGGTCACATTGTGTTGTTATCTTTCTGTGTCTTCCTGTCTTACAGATAGTAACCTTATGTGGGGGATTTTGAGAAACAGTCTTACTGGACAACTCCAATAATTCCTTTTCTCTCCTTTCTTTTCTCCCGCCACAGGATTGTTCCTGGGTATCGCATCCAGCTGGCTGCTGGAAGTAGAAGTAAGTACAGAGGAGTTCAACTTAGCAGACAGTTCCGATGTATCAGTTCTGTGCCAGCAAGGGTGGTAAGTACTGGAGTAGAAACAGCGGAACACAATCTGCTTGGTCACAGATAGCGCATGGCCTACCACCCAGGTGCGTATTATCCTTCAGCATCAACACTTTGCTGCTTCTCCTCTAGCTCATTACCTGTGCAGCTCTCCTATCTTCGTGGCCGGCTTCTTTTCTTTCCTTACTGCGTCTTTATCCTGCCAGCGTTTATCTTTCTAACCATAACCCACGCTTTGTCTCTAAGCACGTAGGAACACAGTTCTCAACAACTCAGTTCTTTATATAGACTTTCTGAACTAAGTCAGAACAATTTCCGATAGTGAGCTATTTTTAATTTTTTTAAATTAGGCAATCACGAGTAACAAGTCAAGACCTTACTTTACCTGAAAAGTTAACTTATGAATCCCTTAGTTTCTTGATCAATTGGCAATCAATTGGTGAAATATATTCTTATTCATACTGTTGTATGAAATATAAACATACAATAGTCATCTTTCAAAAACAGTTTAGGGGAAATCTAATGTTTTATGGCAGATGCACGTATTTTAATTATTTTGAAAGAAGTATTAGGATTCAGACTCACAGAAGCCACAGAGTGCTCCTACTTCTGCTTACGTTAAGGGGCTGGGGATCTGTTTATCAATAAAACTTTGAAAAAAAAATAAAGGGGCTGGGGAGATGGCTCAGTAGAATAAGCGCTTCCCTGGCAAGCTCGAGGGCCTGAGTTCAATCCCTGGCTCCACACACACACAAAAAAAGATAAAATTAAAGAGTTTTTTCCTTTTACCTGCCCCTATAAACAGCAAGAACTTGTGTACATTACTCTTTAAGAAACTGGAATATGAAGTCTGTGGAAACAACATGTAAAACACTGCAAAACCAACATATTTCTCTAAACAATTCATATTATTTAAGATAATAATTTCATTTCTCAGAAACATCCATACCTTGGCCTGGTCACCTTAACACACAGGCTCTTTCCTTTTTCCCCACCCCCATTTCTCTTTCCTTTTCACTAAAGAAAAAAGCCACTGTGATGATATTTTGCAGAAACTAGAAAAATTAAACCCTGACTATTGAAGGAAAGAGTACTAATAATATCTTGCAAGTACTTCAGACTCATTATATGGTCTAATTAAATTTTATTTTTCAGAAAAAGCCCACCTTTAACTGAACCACATTTTTTTCTCCCTTTACAATTGCTGTAATACTATTTTTCTATTTCTCATTTAATGCACACCGTATTTCAGTTACATTTGGACTAAATAAGCTTTATGTGAACTAGTTTAATTTCTATATATAGCAATATATTATGAAGAAATATTTCTTAAGAATAACATAAATATAGACTATCTTAAGCTAGAGAATGTTTATAAAAACACATTTTTATATGTAAATTTCACACCCATTTATAATAATCTATAGTTTCACTCAAAGTGCTACTTTAGAGAACATTTTTGAATTTAGGGGTCATATATCAAACTTGTAGTAAACTTCATTTTCAACATTATGCAATATACAGTAACCATTGTTGAATGCCTATTACTTTGTTTAATGAAATTCTGTATCATTTCTAGTGGTTTTTTTACACTATTTTATATTCTTTAAAAAATAAAAACATATAAAGCACATAGTTAATGACATTTAAGCTTGTAAATCAGCTCTGATTGGACTGGGATAACTGATTGAATTAAATGTTATTATATCAAGCAAGTGATCCAGTATTTTCATCATTAAAACCCCAAACTGGATTAACTATTTGCCTCTTGATTAGATATCAGTTGGCTTACTAAATTCTAATCAGATTGGTTAACCTAAGTTAATTATATTTTCGAAGGCCGCATTTTGATAATTCACTCACTGTGACTCTTTGCCCTCTAGCATTTTCTTCAGGGTGTTCTTTACTTCTGTGTTCCTCAGGCTGTAGATCAGAGGGTTAAGCATTGGGATCACAAGGCTATAAAACACAGAGACTACTTTGTTGTGCTTCCATGAGTTCCCGGCTTTCGGCTGGCGCAGGTACATGAAAAACAGTGTTCCGTAGAAGATGGTGACCACAGTGAGGTGGGAAGCACAGGTGGAAAAGGCTTTGCACTTGCCTTCAGAAGACTGAATTTTTATGACAGAAAAGAGGATGCAGATGTAGGACACGAGGACAGTCAGGAGGGATCCTGTGAGATTCACCACTGAGAAGATCAGCAGCTGCTTTTCTTTGTTGTGGGTGTCAGAGCAGGAGAGGGCGAGGAGGGGAGGGTCAGCACAGTAGAAGTGGTGAATGACGTTGGAGTCACAGAAAGACAGCTGGAAAGTCAGTACTGTCTGCATCACAGAGTTCAGGAAGCCATAGGTGTAGACACCTACCACCAACTCCTTGCAGACGCGCTGGGTCATGATGGCTGTGTAAATCAGGGGTTTGCAGATGGCCATGTATCTGTCATAGGCCATGGTGGCCAAGAGGAAGCACTCAGTAGTGGCAAAAGCACTGGAGAAGTACAGCTGAGCAAAACACCCTGAGAAAGAGATGGTTTTTTTCTTCACCAATAAATTTTGCAGCATCTTGGGCCCAATGGAAGATGAGTAACAAAGATCAATGAAGGCCAGGTGACCAAGAAAATAGTACATGGGGGTGTGGAGCCGCAAGTCTGCCTTGATGAGAAGGATTAGGCCAGTGTTTCCCACCAAGGTGATCAGGTAGATCACCAGGAACACCAGGAACAGGGGGAGCTGAAGCTCAGGACGGTCTGTGAACCCCATAAGGACAAATTCTGTCACTGTGGTACCATTGCCTCTTGCCATTCTGCTCTCACCTGTTGTGAAAGTAGAAACATGGCTTAAACATGATTAAATACTTTAAATATCTCATCACCTCTTTGTTCTGGCATCAGATAACAGAAATTTGGCCCCACATTCTCAATAGTTAAAATCTGTCATTAGCTAGGGGACTTTTCTTTGCTCAAACAGACTCAATACCTGAGCTTATTTCTTTTTCAAGCCAGTGGTATGATTTGCTTACATCAGGCTTTATTTTCATGTTGAAAGTAGAGCTGTTCTCAGTTCAGCTCAATAATTTTGCACTTCTGTCTCCACTTGGGGCAAGATAGTGTAGGATTCTGGGATGGAGGTGGGATACCATACAGTCTTTGTTCTCCTGGAGTCTTGCAGAGGGGCACATAAAGCATTATTCCACCAAAGGGAGTGACTTGAGTGGGATTAGAAATGTAAGACTGCTGTAGGATTCAGCAGGGCAAGGCTATGTGGATGGTGGAGCAACAAACAAACAAAATAAAACAACAAAAAACCGAAAAAACAAAAACAAAGCTTCATTCATTGTTTTTTTTTTTTTCATTTTTCAATTACAGATGGCCCATCTATAATCTATCTGATGCCATGCACAGTGAAGGTGATACAAAAATGGATACATATATGTCTGCCTTCAATGAGCTCACAGCCTGGTAGGAGAAACATGCATGTAAAGAGCTAGTTGCAATTGATTGTGAATTCATGCTATGAGTGACAGAGATCCTGTACTTCATCCTGTCTGCAAGAGGGGCAATGAGTAGGGGTAAAGGGCCAAAATCTTTTAAAAAAATTTTTATTTTTTATGTATTTGGTTGTTGTAGGGTCTCACTATGGTGAGATCTCACTGTGGTGAGACTTGTGGTGATCTTCCTGCTTTCAGCATCCCCAGCACTGGGATCACAGGCATGTGCCACTACAGGGCTCAGCCAGCCCTGGGGGTGGGGCTGGCATGGCATATGGTGCCAGGATCAAATTGCAGTCCCTGTGCTTGCCTAGGCTTGCCTAAACAGGTGCTTTAGTCTGCTGAGCTATCTTGCTGGCCCCCAAGAATCTTTAAAGAGAGGAAATATTGAATTGTCTTCAATATTGGCCTGGAGTTTTTGAATTATAAAAAACAATACAGTCTCTAGGTGAAGTTTTCAAATGACAAAAAGAGGGCTATAAAGTGTGTCCTCCCCTCTATATCCAATATAGTTGCTTGATGATATTCAGTTTAAGTGTTTCTTGTATGTCCTAAATAATGCTTAAGTATAAGCAAATATGAATACACATATTGCTTTTCTACATAAGTGATATCACAGCTTTTACCTTTGTCCCTTTTTACACTTAGCAAATATTTCTAAATGAGTGTGGATAAAGTCATGACGTCTCTTTTTGTAGCTGTGTTATAATTTATTAATAAGTTCCTTCTTAATGGACATTTATTGTATTTTAAAATTCCCTCAAACTATTGTTTTATTTTAAAATATGTGTCATAGTGTTTGATTTTCTGGGTCCACTAAAGTATTAGTTAATAAAAAGTACATATGTATTTTAAATTGAAATAAAATGCTTAAAAATAATTATTTTTATTCCTTGCTTTAATATAGTTTTTACCCTAACTGACAAGCTAATGGCCCCAAACTTACAGGTGAAGTGAATTTCCATAGACTAAGAATGACATGAGATGTTGAACAAAACTTAAGGTACACACATGAAGCAGACTAGGGATATTAAAATTATTTCCAATACAATGCATTCAATCATAGCAGGGCATATATGATGCAGATAACTTAATCATCTGTTCACTTCCACTAATGTATCATTTTTATAATTGAAATAATTTTATTTGCTACTATTAATTTTTCAAAAATATTAGGTTTTATATACAGCTACATTCTTTCTTTTTAAAAATATTTTTATTGAGAACCAAATAGCAATGAGACAGTTTTACAACCGATTACTAGCACATTTTCAATAATTAATATATTGCATATTGTTGTTTTAGTGGTTATTCATTGTACAAGATGCAGACATGATGTCCTGTCTCAAACTCTATTAGAAAAATCTTCTCTATTCATTGAATTAAGAGAATGGAGCTGTATATCTATCCTAACTATTTTGAGTATACAGATACAAAAGGGTCGTTCATTTATATCCCCCTTTTTTGGTTAGTTTTGTCAGAGATGGGTATTCCATTGCCATTTAAATACTGTAGGTGTGTGAATTCAGCAAAATAATCCAATATAGTCCAGTAGTCCATAATAGTAGTGGGTTATTCGTAGAACTGGCAATGTCAGAAGTTGTTGACTTGAGCCTTTTACAGCTCAGCTTATTAATATGGCTTTACTTTTTATACTTCATTTTCATACTTTTCTGCTGGATGGTTAAGACCAAGAAAGAGCAAGACCTATATAAAAAGAAATGTAACTTTTTATATCTGATAAGGTCAGTGAAATCCCCTCAGGATTTAACTTGAAACCCTGTACCTCAGTTTGTAGATTCTTTGTCAGTGTCAGCCATGTGGATGAGTCATGGCCATTGCCTGACCAATGTGCTCTCTGTGAAAGCCTGAGAGAATGTTTTCTCTCCATGTGACTCTCCTTAGGCACACTCTACATCATCAATCACTTTTCTCTATGGCCCCATATACAGCTACATTCTCTTAATTCAATGAATAGAAAGATTTGTTCTAATAGTGTTTGTGGACAGGATATCATGTCTGCATCTTATACAGTGAATAACCACTAAGACAACAATATGCAATGTATTAATTATTGAAACTATCCTACTAATCGGTTTTGAAACAGTCTCATTGCTACTTGTTTCTCAATAAAATTATTAAAAAATAGTAATAATAAGTGAAAAAATATTGTGTTTTAAAGTAGTATTTTCATATATGCACATAACATATTTCGATCACGTATTTCCCCATTATCTTCTTTTACGCCTCTCTCTCTCTCTCTCTCCAACCATTATTCCTTTCCTCTTGTCTAACAATGAATATTTAATGTTTACAATTTTGTTGTTTTTTCTATTACAAATAAAACTGAAATATGCATACATAGGGATGCTATATGGATAGAAGATAACCAGTAGCAATGAAGCTTGGGTCAAGGTATATATTTGTTTTTCTTTTGATAGCAATTGACACATTAAATCAACTTTTTAATATACATATCAAAATTATTTTTTCAGTTTTTCATCTGTCCTTTAATGTATTGGATTTGGTATTGCTAATACAATTCATCTGGCATGGTTTTTTTTTCTTTATACTATGCAGAAAGTTTTAAACGTTTTGATGCCAAATTTTTTCCTTTTTAAAGTCTGATCATTATGAAGTGGCTAGATAAATATTTCTCAATTTATTATCATTTAAATTATCTCTTGTTTCATTTTAGATACTTATTGAATTTCATTTTTAAAATATGATCTTCCTATAATAAGATAATCAATTCTTTTTATTTGTTTATTTCTTCAAATAGTTAGCTAGAAGTCTTAATACAGCTTTTTTCAAATATTTCTGGTAATTCTGCTGACTTACAAGTGCTGCCTTCTAGTAAACTAAACCATCCATAGATGCCTAGGTCCATTTCTAATTTTTTTTCAGTCTATTCTAGAACAAAGACCAAATATTTAAGCAAAAAATAGTTGTATGTTATATAACTCATTTTGTCTCATAGCAATTTTTTTTTTGCTATTCTTACCTGTATAATTTGCCAGATGAACTTTTATATTACCACATTTAAACAATAATAATCAAGGTGCGTGTCTTTTGGGCAAAGAATTTAAGGGTTCAGTTACCTGAAAGATGGTTTAGAAGGAGCAGATAACATGGGCTACGGATGGGCACATTGCATTGGCTTCAAAGATTCCTTTTTTCATGGGGTATGGTGCAATAGGTAGTGTCTCCAAGTAGCTCTAAAAATGGAGAAAAGTCAGCATTCACTTACGTTTGGATCTAAAAGATGGCCTATGAGTGATAAGAAATAAATGTGGATAGAAATGCATGCCTGGGTTAGACAACTGAGTGTCTGATATCTCATTTAAAAAATTTTTGATTTGTAACCTGAAGAGAGGAGGCAGCCTTTGAAATAAATTTTGATCATTATTGGTAATAGAACTCAAGAAAATGAAAGATGCATGTAAGGGGAGTGTTTTAGGTAGAGTAACAACTGAACATGGAATTGAATAAATAGCTCAGAGGATGTTTATGGTGCTGTGATTTGCTTTTGAGGAAAAGCAAATAAATATGGAAGAGATTAATGGGAGGCAAACCGGATGGGGTACATTATTGCATATTGTGAAGAGCCTTGAAGCCCAGGGAGATTTAATGATTAGTTCAGTACTGAACATGCACCCATTAAATATTTGAATAGTAGAATGGCTTAGCTAATTATTAACTTTCAGGATTAGAGAGCTTTCAGACATCAGATTTAGTCTGGCAATGTGTGAGGGGATGGATACAAGAGAGTGAACCATCATAAAGGCCACCAGCTGAGATATTCTCCATGTGACATGGATAAGGATGTACACCAGGGAAAGAAGGTAGGAAGGAAGAAAGACTATGGAGTCTGTGTCACTTGGCCATTGATTCAAACTCTGCATTTCAAACTTGAGAGACTAGAATAACAATGATGTAAGAATTGACAGTTTAATTTTATCTTATGAAAGGAGGTCTGACACATTTTACATACACACATACACACACACACACTCATATATGCACACATACACTAAAATTAATATTGTCGTTCTCAGAAGTCAACATAATTAAGAGAAAAAAGGAAGCTCAGCTTGCCGCTATGTTTGCTTATCAGTGGTGCAGAGAGGTGAGGATGTCAGTAGAGACAGAAAGAAAGGTAGGACTAGATTGGCTGATGTGGTAAGGCAATCACTGGTGCCACAGCAGTTAGAGCTAGGCATCCTGACTCGGGGGTCACGGATGCACCCACAGTAGGATAAGATAGGAGGAACAGGTGAAAGCAAGGTTCAAGATCTTTGGGGAAAAATGTATT